TATTGTTATCAAAATGGAATTGGTGGGGTAAATAATACAATAATAAAATATACTAAATAAAATAAAATAAAAAATATTAAAATTTTTTCTTTAAAAAAAAATGAAAAAAAAATTTTGAAAAAAGAAGAAAAATCTAATTTTTAATTTTTTTTGCGTTTTCAATTCTAACAGTTGGACAAAAAAACCTAAATTAAACATGACACGGGTAAAAATAAAGTTTCATTCGTTACAATAAGTACAACATGTCAAAATTTTTGTCACCTTCAAACTTCTTTAACTTTTTTCGTCAACAAACTTCCCTGCAAATGATACTCATACTTCCTTCCACGAAGATCCAACGACAGTATAGTTTTATTTTTATAGAGAAAATTTTCCTCCCTCATCACAAATGTGGATCTAACATAGGAGCAGCACAAAATGCTCTTTCAAAGTGTGGACGTTGCAGCCAGCAAGAAACGGGATGTACCTATTAGTTCACCACAAATGTTTTTTCAAAGTGTGGACGTTGCAGCCAGCAAGAAACAGGATGTACTTATTAATTCACCACGAATATTGAAAAAAACATCGTGAAATCGTCGGCATGCAGAGATGTACTGGTCCTACTTTATTGGCTTGCAAAGGTAGAGTCAAAAGCATTCTGCAAAAATAAAACATTAACTTCATTAGATCTTTGCGGCAGCAATATCAGTTGGGTAAGAGGAAAATCAGTCCAAATAATAAAAAAACTACCATTTTTTAATGTTATTCTACTTGTCATGCTCTTATTATTTTCAAAAAAAGCAAAAGATAGAAAGTTTGAACTCAAAAATAATTGTTTTTTTATTTTTATAATGTTTATAAATTATAATTTTCAAATATTTACAGACCAAACGTCAAAGTTCACGTATAAAAAAATATATTGGCGTTAAAAGTATGAAAATAAATCTCAAATAAACACGTAATATAGGTTAAAAAAAAAAAAAAACTCTTTAAATGAAAAATAATTGTGGCGCCATCAACCTAATCAGATTATCACATAATGTTCAAATCAAAATGTAAAAAAGTTAATTTTTCGTTTTGCATACGTAGCCATTTTTTTTTTTTTAAAAGCTAATTTACTATTTATCATTATCGTTATTCATAAATTTATTTGGTGCTGCCCGGTGAAGACATTAGTTTCTCGGAATTATTTGATAAAACCAGTATGCATGGCTTATATATAACACAAGCCTACTACTTCAGTAGGTTAATAATAATACTAAAAAAAAAAGATGACAAATACCAGATTATGCAAAATGAAAGATCAATTTTTTATGGTTTTGTATAGTACAGCGCTAGTTTCAATTGAGTTCTTGTGAATTTATGGTTGTTTTTCGTCTTGAAGTTTGCATTTAATGTTAAATCATTTCATTTTTTATTTTATTATGGTTTGTATGTTTTTTTTCAATTACTGTTTTTGAAGGTGGCAATTCCTACGAACTGGATTCTACAATGAAATCACGTCACGGCTGGGGATAGTAGAAGACATTTGAATAATATTTGAAGTCTGCTGAAGCCGGAAATTCAAGTGAAGAATGCATTATTGAATTTTAATATAAATAGGTGTAGAACCTAACGATGAAAAAAGCATGAAAGTTATTCAAAATCTGCTGAAGCTAATAATTCAAGTGGGCAATATAATCATGGATATGAAAAAAGGTATTTGAGAGGTATTTGACATCTGCTGAAATAATAATTCAAGTGGTTAACAATGTAATTTTGACTCCAATGCAAATAAGGCATAGGTACATTTAATGATGAAAAATGGTATTTAGGTGGTATTGATCTGCTAAAGCAGCAATTCAAGTAGAAAATCTTGAATTCTACTATGAATAAGGTGTAGGCACATCTAATAATAAAAAAAAAGGTATTGGGTAACATTTTGATTAACTAAGGCCAGAAATTCAGGTTGCAATGAATCTACACCAAAAGATGAAAAAAAGCATTTGAGAGGTATTTGAAATCGGCCGAAGCATTAATTCAAAGTGGCCAATATAATCTTGATTCTGATAGGAACAGGTCAACGATAAAAAAAAAGCATTTGAGATCTGTTGAAGTGGTACTTCAATTGGGCGATATAATCTCTTTTCTGCTAGAAATAAAATGTAGGGGCACCAAATGATGAAAAAAGGCATTTGAAAGGTATCCGAAATCTGCTGAAGCGATAATTCAAGTGGATAATATCTCGTTTCCCTATGAATAGAGCGTATGTACACCCAACGATAAAAAAAGGCATTTGAAATCTGCTGAGCAGCAATTCAAGTGAGCAACAATATAATCTCGATTCTGCCAAGAATAAAGCATAGGTACACCTATCGATGAAAACAGGCATTTGAGTGGTATTCAAGTGGGAAATGTAATCTTGGATTCTAGTATGAATAAGGCTTAGGATCCAACAATGAAAAAAGGCATTTGAGAGGTATTGAAATCTGCTAGAGCGAAAATTCAAGTAGGCAATAATAAAGTATAGGATCAATGATGAAAAAAAGACATTTGAGAGATACTTGAAATGCTGGAGCAGAATTCAAGAGGGTAATGAATAAAGTGTAGGTATATTCAATAATAAAAAAAGCTTTTACATATATAACTCCCTATGCACGAGGACGACGCTTGTCGTACTTTATTAAATTCTAAACATTATTATTATTATTATTATTATTACATGTTACATTTTGTACAATATAGATTTATTCAGATCTACCACGTGACCGTAGCGTATTATCTATATATAAATTGATCTATCAAACCAACAATTGAGAAATATCTGAAATCTGCTGGAGCAGAAATTTAAGTGGGTAATAAATAAGTGTAGTCAAATCTATGTATCAAGTGGCAATGAATAAAGTCTAGGTGTATCCAACAATGTAAAAAGGCATTTGAGACATATTTAAAATCTGCAATTCAAGTAGGCAATGTAATTCTGATTCGCATTTGGGGAGTTTTTGAAATCTGCTGAAGCGGCAATTCAATGAAATCTTGATTCTAAGTGAAAAAAGAGCATTTGAATAGTACAGTATTTGGAATCTGCTAAAGCGGAAATTCTAATGATTGGATTCTACTATGAATAAACGTAGGCACCTAACGATGAAAAAAAGGTATTTGTCTCGATTCCAACTAACTCATCTTTAGTCAAATTAAGATTTACGTCAGATTAAAATTTCGATACTGAATTTTATTAAGTTAGGGTGAAATACAATAGTGATAAGACAAAAAACATTCCGGATTATTAGAATAGTTAATAAAATGACAACTCCCCTTCAATATAGAAATCTAAGAAATAAAATGACAACTCCCCTTTAACATAGAAATCTAAGAAATCAAAAATTTTCTAAACTTCACCAAACCCAAACAAAGTCTTACCTTGCCCAACAAGATATTATTGATCAGATGAATCGAGAAGAGTGGTTGGATGAGTTGGAATTGGAAAGTGAAATGTTAGACAGGACAAGAACGAGTAAAACACGAAAAGGAGGTTAGATGGCTAATGTTATAATAATAATAATAATATATATTTTTTTAATAAAATTTTTGATTGCTTCCAATTAATTTCACGGAATTGGTGTTGAGCACCAGTGGTATGATTTAGTAAAGCCATAAATTATATTTGTTTCAAATATTGTGTTTTATTTTAAGATGCACCAACCCAACCAGACTCCATTAAAATTTGGCCTATGAAATCACCTTCAGCGCACTGCATAGGCACAAAAACTTGGCATAGTCACAGGCACAGGCACAAAAATTTAATATCTATTATTTAATTATGCCTGGCGCTACACCGGCATTTTGTGCCTAGCAATTTATACCCACATCTTTGCCGGTGCTTGGCACTTTGTGCCTATAGCTTTAATGTGCCTGGTATTTTACGTCCTTTTATGTCTATCAGATATTCAATCAGAGAAATATACATACATAATGTATATACGTACTAAAAGTTTGTAATATTTACATTAGCCATCGGATCTTAAATTATATATATCAATTTGAATCTATTATGTTGATAATTTTAAGAATATATTTCTCATTATAAACACTTATATCAATAAATTTACTTTACCCCCACACACTAATTAAAGTGAATAAATATATTAACTTAACCCTATTGGAATTAGGCCAGTATTATTGTATAGTGTAGGCCGACTTGATATCAACATTTAGTGTAAATGCCAATTGCCTAATAAAAATATTTTTTATATGTGTGAGAATTTTTTTAAATTCAAAAATCACATACCTGAATGCAAGGGAATCACCTCAACTTTGTTATATTTTGCGGAACTCATTTTATGATCCAACAATCAAAAACAGCGATTGCACATAATTAGGCCGAATTTCCAGGATCATGATCCAAACTAATATCCGCATAATTCATATATTTAGTATATAAATACCACATAAGCACGAAAATAACACGCAGGGGCGTCATTTTGAATAATAGCCTGAATTAGGTCAAAATTCGAAATTACCGTAAATCGCCGGATACAAGATCCTCATGATAGTAGACCCACTATGTAGTATACCCGGATGTGTATCATGAGATCTATATTAGTCATACATGGGTTTTTTTCAAATATCTGGATTGTTTATTATAAATGCAAAGCATGCATACTCTTCAAAGTTTTCCTCTTAGTGACATGGGCTCTCGGCTGCATACTAGACCCGGGGTCTATTATAGGTTTTAAAATTGGTAGAATGTAAGAGACCTGGGTCTTGTATCTGGCGATTTACAGTACACCCCTGCGCATTATTTTGTGCTTATATGGCACGGAACTCGTAGCACTCAAACAAATTATGCATATATACCCGTTTATATATTACTATTATTATTATGCCAATGATATAATACGGTATAGTAAATATTTAACAGAAATCATGCATTTAAAAGTATCACAGTAGACATTCAATGAACATAAAACACATTCGGGAACTCAGATAAAAGAAATTGTTTTTACATTAAATACAGAAATAGCTTTAAATTACTACAAAATCACACAGAATACTAGTGTTGGCATTTGAACTATGTCCGATCAAAATTTTATTTGTGCACATGATGAACAACATTTTATTTAAATGTAATTTTCATTTTGCACAACCCGCCAACCCGTTTTTTCAATTTTTTGAAAAAAAAATTAAAGTACCATTTGAATTCTCCAGAATTATCCGATAGGACCAATAAAAAAAAAAGACCGTTAACTCTATACTATGCAAAAACGAAAAATTAACTAGATAAATACGTAAATACTAAAAAGAAAAAATCCGACACACCGACCAAATTCTGAAATACCAGGTTATGCAAAATGAAAAAAATCAACTTTGTGTGGTACAGCACTATGCTTTAATCATGAGTTCTTGTGAATTTATGGTTATTCTTTTGTCTTGAGGTTTGTATCTAACGTTAAATCTTTCATTTCTCATTTTATTATGTTTTTGTATTTTTTTTTTTTTTTTTTAATTACTTTTCTTGAAGGTGAGGAGACAGTTCCTGTGGGCTGCATGATTTTGAATTCTGTTATGAAATAACGTCATGGTTATGGATAGAAGACAGCTGAAGCCGGAAATTCAGGTGAAGAACGCATCTTATTCTTGGATTCTAATATTAAAAAGCTGTAAACACACCTAACAATGAAAAAAGCATGTGAGGTATTCGAACTCTGCTGAAGTGGGTAATGTAATCATGGATATGAAAAAATTATTTAAGAAGTATTTGAAATCTGTTGAAGCGATAATTAAGTGGTTAACAATGTAATCTTGATTTTAGTGAAAATAAGACATAGGTACATTCAACGATGAAAAATGGCAATTCAAGTGAAAAATAAATCTTAGATTTTACTATAGATAAGGCGTAGGCACATCTAATGATGAAAAAAAAGGTATTGAGTGATATTTTGATTTGTTGAAGCCGGAAATTCAAGTGGACAATGCAATCTTATTTTTGCTAAAATTAAGCTAGTTATATTAAAAGATGAAAAAAGGCATTAGAGAATATTTGAAATTTACTGAAACGTTAATTCAAAAGTGGGCAATATAATCTTGATTCTGCTAAGAATAATAGGAATAAAGCAAGACACATCAACAGTGAAAAAAAAACATTTAAGAGATATTTAAGTGGAAATTCAAGTGAGCAGTTTAATTTTGATTTCATAGGTACAGTTAGAGATTCGACCCATTATAAATTTTTTCTCTGGGTTACCCGCCCATCTAAAAAAGCCTTACACGGATACAAAACCGATTTGTTAAAAATAATTGAGTAACCCTGATTTCCTGTGAATGGCGTGCTTTCAAAAATATTAGTAAAGAACTATTCCAATATGGCTTCCTCACAACTCTCTATATAAATCATAACAACTTGACATACATTTCTTCGGAAACATCCAAGTTAAGACATCTTACCTTACTAGATATCTCTGGTAATAAATTATATATCTAAATTTTTAAAATTTTAGATATTTCAATACTGATGTCGAAAAATTTATAAACTTATAAGCATATAATGAATAAAAGGGAATTGATGAAAGTAAAAAAAAAAAAAAAAGAATGATAACCGGTTAAGCATAACTTCCTCCGGGTTAGACATCAAAATCATGGGTCATAGATTGGCGGTAAGCGGGTCGAATCTCTAGGTACAGTGCACCCAATGATGAAAAAGGCATTCGAGTAATATTCAAGTGGAAAATTTAATCATGGATTCCAGTATGAATAAGGCTTAGGTACAGTATATACTACAATGAAAAAAAGGCATTTGAAAGGTGTTGAAAACTGTTGATGTGGAAATTCAACTGGGCAATAATAAAGTGTAGGATTCAACGATGAAAAAAAGACATTTGAGAGATATTTGAAATATTGGTGCGGAAATTTAAGTGGACAATGTATAAAGTGTAGGTACGTATATCCAACGATAAAAAAGGCATTTGTGAAGTTTTTTTTTTCTTTTATATATATATATATATATAACCCCCCTATGCACGAGGGCGACATGTGTTGTACTTTATTAAATTATAAATTGATACATTTTTTATAATAAAGATTTATTCAGATTCATACGTGACATAGCGAATTATCTATCTAACCAACAATTGAGAAATATTTGAAGTCAGCTGGAGCAGAAATTCAAGCGAGCAACGAATAAAATGTAGGTATATACATCAAGTGGGAATGAATAAAGTCTAGGCGTATCCAATGATGAAAAAAGGCATTTGACACATATTTGAAACCTGCTGAAGTGGAAATTCAAGTAGACAATGTAATCTTGATTCTGCATTTGAGGAGTATTTGAAATCTGCTAAAACAGCAATTTGATTCTTTTAGGAATAAAGCATAGGTACATTAAAAAAGCACTTGAGTAGTATTTGAAATCTTCTAAAACAGAAATTCTATTGGAATATGTAATTTCAGATTCTACTATGAATAAACGTAGGCACATCCAATATCCAACGATGACAAAAAGGCATTTGAAGGTAATTGTCTCGAAGATGGCGATTCCAACCAACTCATCCTTAGTCAAATTAAAATTTACATCAGATTAATATAATATTTCATTATTGAGTTTTATTAAAGTTAGGCTGAAATACAATAGTGATATATACAAAGAAAATTCCAGATGTTATACAATAAACTTCTGCTAACGTTATAAAATAATAATAAGGTTAATAAATAAATAATATTTTATATATTTTTTAATAAAATTTTTGATTGATTCTGAGCTTGCCTAATTTTCTAGAACTGGTGTTGAGTACCAGCAGTGTGATTTAGTAAAGCCATAAGTTATATTTGTTTTAAATATTGCGCGTTATTTTAAAATGCACAAATCTAGCCAAATCTTTTAAAATTTGCCTAAGAAGCACACTAACAAAAAAATTTCATTGTGAAATTTCTGATCATGACACGAACCCTAACGTAAACTTTATATTTATTAAAAATATCGATTGTTTTGATTGAGCATAGATTAGGGTTCTAAAAAAAAATTAAAAATTAGGTATGGGAACATAGTCATGGGTAGGGTCACCGACTATCTACTAGACTGACCCAAATTCTGTTTTCGATAAAAGTCAATTTATGCGAATTTATGCAATAAAATTTCTAGAATTATGTGACAATTTATGCAATGATTTAATGAAAAAAAAATTATACCAAAAGTTCTATCTAAAACAGATTTACCAAAATGGAATCAGATTTAAAATAAGACTATTAACCCACTTGTACGTTTGATCTGTCATTACTATTTCGTAACTCTAACCAATACACTCATTAACCACCCATAATTTTCTGATACAGTTATCATCTGGCCAGAAGTATGCTAATTTTGTTTTGATTTTCAAAATATTATTTTATGCATAGATTATGGCTAAATAATTATGCAAAATATGCTATCGCACATGCTATGCGCATAACATGCTATCACAGATAGTCGGTGATCCTAGTCATGGGCACAGAAATTTGATATTTATTATGCCCAGCACTACTCTGGCACCTTGTACCTACATCTTTGCTAGTGCCTGGCACCTTGTACCCATACCTTTAATACACCCGGCATTTTACGCCCTTTTATGTCTATAGGCATAGGGCATTAGTACTCGGACTAATACCAATGTGCCAGGCATGGGCATTTTATACCTCTAGTGTAGATTAAAGATGGGCAAATCACAGTTTTTTCAAAAGTCACATACGGGATAGGATCACAAATCCGTGAGTTTCTTAATTTTTGTTTTCAATAAAAAACCGTACAAAAATTATTATTGAAAATCAAATTTATTATTCCACCATAAATTTTCGAAATGGTTGTTTCGAATTTCGGGTCAAAATTTGATATTTTGAGAATTTATAATAAATATGTTAATGCAGACCAGATATTATATTAATGCCAGTTAGATTGTATGGTAATGCCAGCCAGATAATTTTATCTAGGATCATATTAAAAATCCTACAGATTACGCGTGTGCCTATCTCTAGTATAAATCATCTGATTGACTCACATATCTCACGTATATTATATAAACAATCCTAAATTGAGATTTTTTAAGATATTGGATACATGTAAATACGTGCCAAAATTCAAACTTCTTTAACTCTTTTTTCCTCAACAAACTTCCTTTCAAATGACATCTATATCTCTCTTCTGAAACGATTATATAAAAAGGTGGAGGAGGATCTTTACACATCAATCGTAACTGTTGTCTATATGCGGAAGCAGAAAAAGATCATCAGAAACTTTTTGTTATTGCACTTCAAATTAATAAAATTCTAAAAGATCTCAAGATTCAACATTATAACTGTGGATCTAACATAGGAGCAGCATACAGAGATATATCAGGTCCTGCTTTTGACTCTACCTTTGCAAGTCAATTATACACTCTGCACAAATAAACATTAACATCATTAGACCTTTGTGGAGAAAGAGCAATAAAAATATGCTTTGCAAGAACATATTATTAAGTTACGTAGGAATAATATAGGTTTAGAAGGCCTTGAAGCTATATGTAAATAAGATATTGATATTGTTAACCTTAGATAATGATCTCAAATTAGAAGAGAGCAGAATAGGTCAAAAAGGAAGCAAAATATACTAGAAAAACAGCGACGTTTTATAGTCTTGGGTTTCAATTCTTAGGTCTTACAATTTATATAGAATTAAATTTAAAATAGTACATATTTAAATTAAATTTTATAAATTCCTATTATTTTTAATATTACATTTATAATAAATTCATAAAGAAAGTAATCTTTGTTCTTCTAATAATTCTTGTTGCAAACATGCACTCTGTCCTAATTTTTGTAATCTGTTAAAAGAGAATGCACTATTAAAAAAAAGATCGTTAAGAGTACAACTATGAATATAAGACCTGTTACAAATTCTTTATTTCTAATATTTATGACAGCTTACAGTAATGCAGTAATATCAAATCTTGTGATTTATGAATTGTAATTGTTCAGGCAAGTTCCTTATACTAAAGTTGGCAGATAGGGATTTTTCGGATTTCAGGCTTTTCGGACAAATAATCATTACTATTAAATTAAAGCGAATAAAATTAAATCCTTACAATGAATTCTAAGTATCGATCACATCAGTAATTGTTTTTTTTTTCTCAACAGTTATGTAAAATGGTCTCGATTTAGGGTTTGAAATGAAATAATTATCTGAAAAATTATTTAATATTGTTATTGTAGCAAACATCAGAGATTAATGAATTCTGTTATCATTGGTCACTGCTTAAGATTCAGGTATTACTCACTATCCTTACCAACGGGAATATAACTATGTATATTGTTTGACTAATTTTTTTACACAGTACTACCTAAATTTGATTCTAAATCAACTTTATAATTTAATATGTGCGAAAACTTATTATTAATTTCTTATATCAATATTAGTAGAATTAAAATAAAAATCAACTTTGTGTTTATTCTTTTTAACACCCAAATTCTTTATATTAATGACCATCCATAATTATTCCATCATCACCCATCTGAAATATAAAACGACTTGCTTTACTGTTACCAATTTAATCATTAATGGGTATCCATAAGCCCTTTGTACTAAATTTAGTACAAATTAAAAAAATCATTATACAGTACAATAAATTTTAATAATATTTTGCTAAAATATATACTAAATCCCATATTTCATTTATACAAAAAATCTAATCATACTCATATATAAAATTTTGTATAATTTAAACTTATATAAAAATGTATTTTACAAAGTTTTACTGTACTTAATTTAGTACAGTTAAATTTTATAAATATTTTTACAAATTATATAATAATAATTAAAAAAAAATTTATTTATAAATTGCTTAAGATTATATCTTTATTTTGATATATTTTTTATAAATTTAAAATATGATTACTAAAGCATTTAATACATACTGCTTTTAAGGTATTACAAGTACAATAGTATCTTGTTCTTGTACTACAGTACTTACAGCGCAATTGTGGATAAATGGTTTTACCATGATTTTTTTCTTTTTTTGAAAAGTTTCTAAATTATGTTCTATTTGGGATGTTTTAGATCGTGTTTTTACTTGAGAATTTTCAATTACACTATAATTTCCATTAAGCATTTCGTGAGCTAATTCTCTTCTAAAATCAAAATGATCGATATCATGTGCATTATTATGCCATTTTTTATAGGTAAGAAAAGTATTAGCTTCTGCAATTCCCAATAAAAAAGAAAAGATACGCATTTGCCAACTTGATCCTCGCATTACATCATGAAATGATGTCATATTATCACGTATCTAATATATAATGTAAAAATTTTATATTTTTTATTTTATTTTATTTAGTATATTTTATTATTGTATTATTTACCCCACCAATTCCATTTTGATAACAATA